CCAACACGTAGAGATGTGATCACGTTTACATGGAAAGCTAGTAGTGTTGGTTAGTGCATGCGCAAGTGCTGGCATGCATGTAGCTAGGAATTAGTTAGTGGGCAGGTCATGGCCAGCGTCCAGCTTGTGTGTACATGAGTCTCTTGTACTGCTATATAAGTTGAGCAAATGAATAAGAAGGCAGCCGGTTGGGCACAAAAACAATGTAGCCAATGTGACACACCATGGAGAAAAATGCTTCATAACAAAGCCATGTTTCTTTTTCCCTGGTGCATGTGTGCGTGTGTGTTTCTTTTGACTTTTTCATCGGTGTGTTCTTGTGTGAAACAAAATCATGAGAGGGAGAGAGTTGAGAGGAAGAAGAGCGCCGCTGCGAGAGACGGTGCCAACACGTGGTCGTCTCCCGGGCCTCTTGCTGTTTCTTCTTGAACTTGTTCCTTCGCCGGCGACGCCTCTTCGCCGCCGTTGCCATCACGGGTTGGGACGTGAGTCGTGAGATCTCCCTCGTCTCGCCACGCACGCCTCTCGCCCCACGAAAAGACTGCATTAAAACTGGGATCTGGACCCTAACCGTGTGATATACGCTGTGTATCAGATGGATCGAGAAATACAAAGGGCGCGGGCTTGGCGTTGCCCAATATGGCAGATCGGAATTTTCCCGATATATAGGAACCACGCGATGGTTAGATGGACAGTCGTACGAAAATTGCAAGGAGTGGACGAGCGCGCGCTCCTGGAATCGCCAGCCATCGAACCGGTTATGGGGATGCGGGTCGTACGTTTTATTATATTGTTTTCGCTTGTACACGTACGGAATACGGGGAGGTGTACGTGCATAACGGAGGTGACGTAGACGGTAGTTGGGCTCTAACGGGCTGCAGCGAGGCCATTTATTACGCGACCGACCCACCAGCCCCGTCCCCACCTGCTCATTTGTTCCCCCAAAATCGAGAGGAAGAACCATAGACAGAGCTCATGGCGAACGCCAACCAAGCTGCAGATCCGGTCGCACTGCCTTTAGTTCCTTGCCCGGATTGTGGAAGGCGGGTGGTGACGTTCGTTGCTAGGCGCGGTCAGTTCCAGGGTGACAGGTTTTACAAGTGTCGCAATCACAATGTAAGTGGATCTTGCTTTTATGAGTTCTGGATCCTTTCCGGTGTTCATGTCTTATTAGATTTGTCCATCTATGGCAGCCGGGTAGAGGTGGCTGAGCTTGGACCGGCGACACCTCCGTTGGCGCAAATCAATCCTGGAGAGAACGAGGTAGCTGCAGCAAATCAAGGTGGTCAGATGCAGCCGGCGGACGGCACGGTGGGGCAGCAGAACGGGGCACCGGATGGATCGCAGATGCCGTCCGCGGCTAGTGGCGTTGTTGGATCTCAGCTCCGCGCGGGACGCAACTCCTCTGACGTACGGCGCACTCGCTGACGTGTGGACCCGGACCCACGCGTCAGTGGCCCAACGTCAGGTGGCCGTACGTCAGGGGATCCGGCTCCCTCCGCGCGGGGGATGTTGGTCGGCGTCAGGCATCCTTCACTCTCGATGCTGCATCTATCAATCTGGTGGTGTCTGTTGGGAATATGGCCATCTGCCTCGCCATCCTTGTACTGGTAGTGTCTTCCACCGTGATGCGTGCGTTTGATTAATTGGATGAATCTAAGAAGCGTATGCGTATGTAGTAGATGATCTATGTCAGGGGGTAATTAGTGTTAGCATCGTACGTGGGAGAAGGACTCTGAGACTCGTGGAGCTTTTGGATGTATGTTTGGTTCAGTGGATGCCTAGTGCTAATGAAATTTTGGTTTCGAGCTAATCATGAACAGTCAATGACGTAGTTGCTATTTCTTGATTTTTAAAACACCTGCGTGCTGAACGCCTCGCATGTTGCCCACGTGGCAGGGGTGGGTGGTGGTTGGGTAAGTGATGTACCGCGATCCATCAAATGTACCGCGATCCATCAAATGTACCGATGGTACGGTTTCAACCTCCGTCCGTTACCGCATGCCGTACGCGAGCTGGCCGTATGTATCGACAGTACCCTACATTAGTGTGTACGGTCCGCTCCAGAGGCCCACCCACGCGGTATCGCTCTATTGGTCCACCTAGCGGGAGCGCGCGCGCCCGAGCTCGCTATCGCCGCGCTCGACAGTCGTATCCCTACTCACCAGGATTCAAGTCTTGGTGCTCGTTTTATTTCTGGATTTATTTCAGAATTCTCAGCTACGCTCTTTCAATGGGAGGAGACGTTCCCGTCGACGACGAGGCGCCTACAGTGACTTCATAAATCTAAAGATATATGTCAGGTCAGTCTTCCGAAGAAGCTCATAGGGGTAGGGTGTGCGTGTGTTCGTTCATAGGGGGTATATGTTCGTATGTATGAGTGCTTGCGTCTGTACTGTGTTAAAAAAAAAAGAACCACGCGCGCAGTATATGGCAGCTATACACAAAGTAGGCAACAACGTCGATACATACATAGATGGGAAGGAGACGACACGATGCCGAGCTGTAGAAAAAAACATTTTGTGCAATAATTTTCTTGTGGAATTTTTCTCGGGTATTTCTTATTTATTTTATTGCTATTTTGGTTGTAATTTCGTCATTTAAACACTACATCTTATATACCAATATTAAAAGACCCGAAAGGGCAAATCCAACTAATCTTAGGCATCAACTCATGTGTATCCAACGACCTACACTGTTTCAATAGTAAGTGCTCATGCTTATATACGGTACCAAATAATGACATTAGCGCTAACTAGACAATTAACATGCAATTATTACCCTATCTTTAATTAACATGCAATTATTACCCTATCTTTGTAAAAAAATGTACTACCGAGAGTCCACATGCAATTAAGACCCTACTATTTTTGAACTTCCGATTAATACCCTACCGTATATCAACGTGATTGCACATACTACACATTTACTACTATATTTACAAAAGAGGGAGATGTTAATTCATCAGAGGTGGACATAAATTCACTGTGTGTGCCGTATTCATCAGCCACCATCAGTGACGACGCGTGCTACGTCTGCTTCACAACATCGGCCGCATCACGGTGCAGCCGATGGGCCACATAGTAGCATCGGCGAGTGCTGCATTGCAGCACTGACAGCGGCCGCCGACAGTTGCATCACATGCCGCCAGCACCGTCACCCGCTGACGTGCCGCATAGCAGCCCAACGTCATGTGTGCAACATAGCAGCGCCACCGAGGGCTGCGTTGCAACAACAGGGAGCCGCTGACGACCGCCGTGTCGTAGCGTTGACAGCATTGTGGAACGCTGCATTGTAGCACGGGCAACCACCGACGGGCCGCATAACAGTGTTGCGTCACAAATGCAGGATTGGAAGTGCCGGCGAAAGCCGTGTCGTAGCACTGGCAACACTATGAGCATCCAGTTGCAGCACCGAGTCAACGCCCAGGGCTGGTTTGCAGCACTGATAGTCACCGATGATCAACGCGTCGTAGTGTTGATATCGTCGACGTGTGTGTGGAGCTTGGGTAGCAGGCCATGTCGGACAGAGCTTGGACAGCAGGCCATGGCGACATGTGCCAGGACGAAAAGGGTATAGAGCTATGCGGAAAATTTGAGTGGTTGTCGGCGCTCGAAAGACAAACTTGAAGAGGAAGCACCAACATCCGCCGAAACGTCTTACCTGTGAGGATTAAAATCCTAACTTATAAACTACTAACCGAAGCAGAGGCACCGGGATTTCCTCTCCGCCACCGGTCAATGCAGAGGCACCGGGATTCCCTCTCCGCCACCGGTCAATGGAGCGGCAGGCAGAGAGGAGAGGACTCCACGGGCTCACAAATAAAGCCTCGATGGGAGCAAATCATATTTGATCCCATTCAAAATCACAATGTTTTGGTGCATGGATCTTGAATTCTTATGCGTGGTGTGCACGCGGTAGGTGACACGGTCGGAATCAAAAGGAATAAATTATTCCGACGTGCTCCGCGTGCGTTGGCGCATCTGGAAGCGCTTTATTTACAGGCAATGAGTCGGTGCCTTTGCAAGAGCAAGATAGCACAACGACCACGTTACGTACTAGTGTCCATACTCTTCTCATCAATATTATCAATGGCGACGGCACCTGGTGCTTCGCTGCTCGGCCCCATCCCTTTTGTTAGAACTAATCTTGTTATTGATGAGTCATGCATGTAGTTCAAGCTGCGGCAGGTGTGCACGTCAGAGTTGTGCTTCACGTGTACACATATGCAAAGCTAATATATTTAGTTAGTTCCATGCATAGATTAGTTAGTGCCTTAGTGCATGCATGGGTGTTAGTTGGGTAGCTGCATGGGTCGTACTAGATAATGGAGAGAATCCAGGGATAAGTTAGCTGGATGTGCTCGTACGTGGTATGGCGGCCGAGTGTGGCGGCTGGGGTAGTGCGTGCATGTAGCTAGGAAGTTGGTTAGTGGGTTAGTGGCGTGAGTTTTGCATGGCTTGAGTGCCTACCTTCTTATATATATATTGCACTGAGTAAATGGAAAAGAAGAGAGAGGGCTGAGGAAAATGTAGTCACGGTGTGTCACTAAGGAAGTGCCTCACGGCAAAGCTAGTTGGGCTTCTTCCTTGGTGCGTGTGTGTAGAGTTTCTTGTGTGTGTGTGTTCTTGTGTTCTTGAGAGAAACCTCAAAAGAGTTGTGTAAGGCAGCTTGAGGTAGAAGGAGCGGCGCTGCAACGCGAGGCGGCGCCAACACCTTTCGCGGACGTTGAAGTTGACTCAGGCTTGGTCTCCGGTGTGCCGGTGCAGCTTGCGGAGGAGAACGCCGACGCCGACCTTGTGTCCGCCCTGCCGAGCGCGCCGAGGCCCAACAATGGCCTGCCGAACCTCCGTTTCTACGAGGGGTTCTGGCTGCCGGAGTGGCCTGTCCCGGCGGCCGTCGCCCTACAGCGCCGCTTCGAGCCCCGCCGGGACGACGTCATCGTTGCCAGCTTCCCCAAGTGCGGAACCACGTGGGTCAACGCGCTGACGTTCGCCACCATGGCGCGGCGCGCCTACCCCTCCGTCGGCGCTGGGCACCCGCTGCTACGCCTCAACCCGCACCAGTGCATCCCTTTCTTGGAGGGCCTATTCGTTAGCCGGCGCGGGGAGGCCAAGCTCGAGGCGCTACCTTCCCCGCGCGTCATGAACACGCACATGCCGCTGGCCATGATACCGCGAGCCGCCGCGCCCGGCGGGGGCGGGTGCAAGGTCGCGTACGTCTGCAGGCAGCCCAAGGACATGGTGGTCTCGCGGTGGCACTTCCACCGGCGGCTGCATCCCGAGCTGGCGTTCGCCGACGTCTTCGGGGCCGTGTGCAGCGGCGTGGTGGCGTACGGACCAGCGAAAACATGTTTTAGAGTCTATGCATCCGGGTACTTCTTATTCAACCACTCATTCCTGCATCACGATTTGTGCAAATAATTTTCTCTTTTTTTATTAATTTCTCTCATATAGAACATGTATTTGTGCTTCAACTTTGCAGCACAACAAAGCTTTCTATGTAGAATGTGGGATAAAACTTACATATTTTTTGGTCCAACATAAATATACAAAATGAGATTTATTTGATTAAAAATATCTTATTTTTCATATTTATATCGGACAAAAAAATCTAAAAGTTTTATCTCACATTCTAGTTACAAAGTTATGTTGTACTGCAAAGTTTGAAGTTCAAGACATGTTTTATATGAGAGGAACAAAAAAGAGAAAATTTCATGTAATAAGGTAGTTGTGTAGCACAGATCTCAAAGCAACATTGTAGTGCTAGGTGTTAGTGTTGGGGAGCGTAGTAATTTCAAAAAAATTTCTACGCACACGCAAGATCATGATGATGCATAGCAACGAGAGGGGAGAGTGTGATCTACGTACCCTTGTAGATCAACAACGAAAGCGTTTGGTTGATGTAGTCGTACGTCTCCACGGCCCGACCGATCAAGCACCGAAACTACGGCACCTCCGAGTTGTAGCACACGTTCAGCTCGATGACGATCCCCGGACTCCGATCCAGCAAAGTGTCGGGGAAGAGTTCCGTCAGCACGACGGCGTGGTGACGATCTTGATGTACTACCGTCGCAGGGCTTCGCCTAAGCACCGCTACAATATTATTGAGGACTATGGTGGAAGGGGGCACCGCACACGGCTAAGAATATGATCACGTGGATCAACTTGTGTGTCTAGGGGTGCCCTCTACCCCCGTATATAAAGGATCTAGGGGAGGAGGCCGGCCGGCCCTCTATGGCGCGCCAAGGAGGAGTCCTCCTCCTAGTAGGAGTAGGACTCCTACTAGGAGGGCGAAAGAAGTGGGGAGGGAGAGGGAAAAGGGGGGGCGCCGCCCCCCTCTCCTAGTCCAATTCGGACCAGGGGGAGGAGGCGCGCAGCCCACCTCTGGCAGCCCCTCTCTCTCTCCACTAAGGCCCATATGGCCCATTACTTCTCCCGGGGGGGTTCCGGTAACCCTCCGGCTCTCCGGTTTTCTCCGAAATCACACGGAACACTTCCGGTGTCCGAATATAGCTGTCCAATATATCAATCTTTATGTCTCGACCATTTCGAGACTCCTCGTCATGTCCGTGATCACATCCGGGACTCTGAACTAACTTCGGTACATCAAAACTCATAAACTCATAATATAACTGTCATCGAAACCTTAAGCGTGCGGACCCTACGGGTTCGAGAACAATGTAGACATGACCGAGACACGTCTCCGATCAATAACCAATAGCGGAACCTGGATGCTCATATTGGCTCCTACATATTCTATGAAGATCTTTATCGGTCAGACCGCATAACAACATACGTCGTTCCCTTTGTCATCGGTATGTTACTTGCCCGAGATTCGATCGTCGGTATCTCAATACCTAGTTCAATCTCGTTACCGGCAAGTCTTTTTACTCGTTCTGTAATACATCATCCTGCAACTAACTTATTAGTTGCAATGCTTGCAAGGCTTAAGTGATGTGCATTACCGAGAGGGCCCAGAGATACCTCTCCGACAATCGGAGTGACAAATCCTAATCTCGAAATACGCCAACCCAACATGTACCTTTGGAGACACCTGTAGAGCTCCTTTATAATCACCCAGTTACGTTGTGACGTTTGGCAGCACACAAAGTGTTCCTCTGGCAAACGGGAGTTGCATAATCTCATAGTCATAGGAACATGTATAAGTCATGAAGAAAGCAATAGCAACATACTAAACGATCGGGTGCTAAGCTAATGGAATGGGTCATGTCAATCAGATCATTCACCTAATGATGTGATCTCGTTAATCAAATAATAACTCCTTGTTCATGGTTAGGAAACATAACCATCTTTGATTAACGAGCTAGTCAAGTAGAGGCATACTAGTGACACTCTGTTTGTCTATGTATTCACACATGTATTATGTTTCCGGTTAATACAATTCTAGCATGAATAATAAACATTTATCATGATATAAGGAAATAAATAATAACTTTATTATTGCCTCTAGGGCATATTTCCTTTAGTTAGTACTAATCTTGCTGCATGTAGTTAGTTGGTTAGTGAATTGACTAGTCATGCGTGCATGCATTAGATGGATAAGTAGATGTGTGTGAGTTAGCTAGCTGGCCGAAGCGTCGTGCGTGCTGGCCGAACGGATCGCTAGCATGAAGGCTAAGTGTGCGTGGGTGCATGCACGGTGAAGACTTGGGCGTTGCGTAGCTGCTGCACTACAAAGCCGGCTGGGCTGTTCATGTTTGTAGAGAGCGCGGGTGTGTGTGTCAAGGTGTTGTAGCGATGTAGCCTGGGGTGAACGAGTTCGTGCTTGTGGAATACAATGTCGTTCGTGCGGCAGGCGGAGTACGTGCTCCGGGAAACACCTGTGTCCAGCATCCTTCTTCCTCCTTCATCTTCTTCTTCATTGTGTTAGAGAGAGAACGAGCGGGAGGTGCAGCGAGAGAGAGGCAAGGCGAGACCGCGGCAACAACAATTGGTATCAGAGCTTGGTGTCTTGGGCGTGCTTGCCGTGTCGGAGGCGTGGCGGCGGTGGCGGTGTTCGCCGGCGGCTGCGCGGTGAAGCTCCGGGCCGTGTGTCAGTCTATGGAGGCGCGCGGTGCGGCGAGGAGGCCGCGGTGGCCGCGGCGGATACGGCATGCGCGGCCGACATGGAGGCATCGGCCGCGGCGCGCGGCGAGTGCGTGGCGACAGCGACGCATGGTGAGTCCGCGGCTGTGCGGTGTGATGCCGTGTGCGCGAAGAGCACGGTGGTCGCGGAGATGAGGAGGTTGCGGAGGACCTGCGTGGTGGCACAGAGGTCGCGGCGGCTCGGCGCGACAACCATGGAGGCGCGTGGCACGGAGCCGCGGCGGCCCAGGCGGACCTGCGCGGTGGCACGGCGTGGCGGCATGGAGGTGTTGCGCTGCGGTTGAGGCCGAGGCGGTGCAGGGCAATAAGACGCGGCGGCGAGCCGGGCGCGACCGGTACGTGTTATGGGTGCGCACTGGACGCGTCGGGCGCGCCGGGACCGCGGGCGCGCATATAAGCGTGCAGTTGACGTTGGGAGGAGGCGTATATCACCGTGGTGCTCGAGTCCGTGCTCGAGTTCGGCTACATCCTTCCGGCGTTTGTCACTGGCGGCTGCCATGGCGGACGCGGAGGCCACACGCGGTGAGCGTCTGGTGCTGTCGGGCTCGTCGGGCGTGTCGGATGCGCGCGGGACATGCGGGACGCACTGGTGCGGTCAGGCTCGTCGGATGCGAGCGGTACGTGCGGGGCGCGGAGGGACGCCAGGCATATGTCACCGGCGAAGATGGAGCTCGACGTATGTAGTCGGGGTCACGGCAAGTCAAGATTAGAAGGAAAAATGTTAGTACTAATCTTGCTGCATGTAGTTAGTTGGTTAGTGAATTGACTAGTCATGCGTGCATGCATTAGATGGATAAGTAGATGTGTGTGAGTTAGCTAGCTGGCCGAAGCGTCGTGCGTGCTGGCCGAACGGATCGCTAGCATGAAGGCTAAGTGTGCGTGGGTGCATGCACGGTGAAGACTTAGGCGTTGCGTAGTTGCTGCACTACAAAGCCGGCTGGGCTGTTCATGTTTGTAGAGAGCGCGGGTGTGTGCATCAAGGTGTTGTAGCGATGTAGCCTGGGGTGAACGAGTTCGTGCTCGTGGAATACAACGCCGTTCGTGCGGCGGGCGGAGTACGTGCTCCGGGAAACACCTGTGTCCAGCATCCTTCTTCCTCCTTCATCTTCTTCTTCATTGTGTCAGAGAGAGAACGAGCGGGAGGTGCAGTGAGAGAGAGGCAAGGCGAGACCGCGGCAACAACAAAAAGTGAGGCTCGGGTGCATAAGCTCACAAAATCTGCATTCTACGGACCAGTGTGGGACCACATGCTCGGCTACTGGAGCGACAGCACGGCGAGGCCTGACAGCATGCTCTTCTTGCGGTACGAGGAGCTGCTGCGTGACCCCGCCGAGCATGTCAGGGCGCTGGCGCGGTTCGTGGGGCTGCCTTTCTCCGGCGCCGAGGAGGATGCCGGCGCCGTCCACGACATCGTCAAGCTCTACAGCTCCGGCCGCCTCAAGAACCTGGAGGCCAACAAAACGGGCCACGTGAATCCCATCCTCCAGATCCCGCGCGGCGCGCTATTCAGGAAGGGCGCGGCCAGTGACTGGGCGCTATCG